TGTATGCTTCAAACACGGGTCACGACGAGGCGTTCCCCCCATAGCGACCCCTATAGGACGCAGTTCGAAGTTCCCATGAAAGGGAACAAACATGTTCTTAAAGTTCTAAGAGGAAAAAATTGGGGAAAATGTTTTTCATGATCTCTAAAATTCTATATAGATAAACTGACCTTGTCACTATAATTTAGCCTTCTCATAATTACTCTGTTTGTTTACTAGCTAGTATCAGCAAACATGTCACAGCAAAACAGTGGCAAACATCCTGAGGGTGAAGGGGTGAGAAAGGTGAGAAAGATGAGAGGGTGTCTGTGACTTAATGAAGGAAGGGGAGCAATAGGGTCACACTCAATCTCTTCAATGTCACATGACAAATAAGAGGACAGCTGGCCTCAGAGATGATATACCAGTTTGGAAACAGTAACTAACACATTGAATTAAACATTAAATTTTGAAATAGAAAGACTGAAATAATATTTTCTTGTAAAATGCAGTACAGGTATACAGGATAACATCCGCTTATTCAAACTCGTGCAAATAGTCTGAATAATTACAGAATAAACAACTCATCTGCTCATTCAGTACCACTTTTTACTTTCTTTCTCAATCAAAATGAATTTAAACTAACTTGAAATAATGCATTTTGAGCGAGGCCGTGTTTAGTGACCACAAAATTAAAGATGCATTTGCATGTCTTAGACCATCTTGACTCCTGTGAGGTTTGCAATTAAATTCTCTTTCTACTGTACATTAATTGCAAAGGGCCCAAAAGAGTTTTTATGGTGGGTTTTTTATGTGATTTTTTTTTCTCTGTTATGTCTCCCTGGTGGGATTTTTACAACTTGAGAGTGAAGTGAGTGTGTTAAATCAACTGCAGTGTTTCCTTGCTGTTCGTATTGGAAATCGGTGCTGGGTAGGTGAGGAGCTTTTTTGTAATGTTTTCCCATTGCAAAAGCATCTAGCTAAATTATTATTTTCTCCGGTTGTGGAGAGTCTGTAATTATACTGCTCAAAAATTTGGGGCAAGTAAGATTTTGTAATGTTTTGAAATAAGGCTCTTATGCTCAAAAAGCGTAACATTTAATTATTGTGAAATTTTATAATTTAACTTTTTTTATATTTTAATATACTTTAAAACACAGGTTTATTCCTGTGTTGACAAAGCTTAAT